CCATCTCCTCTATAGTTTCTAATTTGTGTGCATAAAGGTATTCATAGTAGCGTGAATGCTCTTTTGTATTTCTGTGATATCACTGGTAATATCTCCAGTTTCATTTCTAATTGAGATTATTTATATCTTTTCTATTCTTGGCTAATCTTGCTAATGGTCTACCAATTTTGTTTATCTTTTCAAAGAAATTACTATTTGTTTCATTTACCTTTTGTATTTTGTTTGTTTGTTTCAATTTCATTTAGTTCTCTGATCTTTGTTCTTTTCTTCTGCTGGATTTTGATGTTTTTTTCTTGTTCCTCTAGTTTATTGAGGTGAGAGATTAAGTTGTCTATTTGTGCTTTTTCACTTTTTGATTTGAGCTTTAATGCTATGAACTATCCTCTTAGTGCAGCTTTTGCTGTATCCCAGAGGTTTTTACAGGTTGTGTCTCTTGTTACTTTTTAACACATGCCCCCTCCTCTAGTTGAGTTTTAATTTTATTGTCTTACATTCCATCTTTCACTTCTTTGGTTTTGCCATTTCTCCCAGCTTTTTTTACTTTTTCTCTTCCCTTTCATTTTTCTGTGTTGTAACCATTCTCTGGGTCCTCAGACAGTCATTCTATTAACAGGCTGTTATTAGGCAACTGCTGATTGGTTATTATCCTTGTCTTCCATAAACTCATTGGCTAGTGGGAGCATGAGATACAGGGAAGGAATTCCATCCCATAATGAAAGTAGCTGAAAAAGCTTAAAGTGAACTTGTTGCAATGCCTGAGGCTGAAATAAGCATCAGTAGAATTAGATTTCTAATCACTTTGTAAAATTTCATCTCATCTCTTTAGAGGTGAATAATCATATCTGTATATGGTAAATTATAGGCTTCTTGGACATAAAGTAAAACACTATGTTTATTTTGTATCACTTTTATGCATAGCTTAGAAATGGTTACATAATCAATATTTGATATATTTTGGCTAACAAGTATATATAGTTAAGATATGCTTTCTATCCTGTGGACTGTTTTAAGGAATTTTATGTGGCATATGTGTATTAAAAATATGCATATCTATTTCTGCAAGTATATTTCCAAATATATTAGAAGACTATTGTGGCAAAGAATAAAGATTGATAAAGTATTTGAATAGGAACTGGAAATTTAAGGAACAAGATTAAGAGCTGCTAATGGATTGTGTCATTTGATAAATATCCTCTCTCAAGATAGAAGTAACAATTTCTGCCTTATTGACTCCATATAATTATTATGTTAAGCCAATTAGGTTAGTGACATGAAAGGCTTTATAAAGACTACTGTATACAATTGATTCTCAAAGTAAGGGCCGAGGACCCCACAGGGTTCTTATATCAGTCACAGTTTAACCAGAGAAACAAAACCTGTAGGAGCTATTAATGAATACATTTATTGCAAGAAATTGACATGATTATGGGGGCTGGTCAGGTAAGTGTGAAATCCACAAGGTAAACCATCAGGAAGGGCAGGCTGGAATTATCAAGCAGGAGCTACAGCTACTATCTACAGATGAACTTTCTTCTTCTTCACAGAGGACTTAGCTCTGCTTCTAAGGCCTTTAACAGATTGAATCAGGTCCACTCAGACTATATAAAATAATCTTTCCTATTTAAAATCAACTGATTATGGACTTTATTGATACCTACAAAATACCTTCATGGCAACATCTAGATAAGTGTTTAGACAACTCATGACTGTAACTTAGTCAAGTTGACACAGAAAATTAACCATCACAGTCCCAACATCCTTTCAAGGAGTACACTAATTCACATTTTACCGATTATGTATGAGGCTGGATATTTTTTCATGTACTTCAACCAATCAACACAGCACAAAACATTGAATGCATAAGCAGATATGAGAACGCATTTTCTATTAATACAAATATGAAATAAAAATTCTCATTTTTTGTTTTGGAAAATATAGTTAACCTAAAATATGCCATTCGTTAAGAGGTAATACATGTATTGTTATTTTTAAAGAAATTATTATTTTCAAATATCTTTTTTATGTTTCTAATATAATATAGATCCACATAAATAAAAACCCATTCTGGGTCCTAAATAATTTTTAAGTGTGTAAAGAAGCCCTGATTCCAAAAGGTATGAGAACCACTATCAATACAGACAAAGTGATTATATTCTTTCTTATTAATAGAACAAAAGCTCAGTAATTCTCCTCATATTCAGCATAAATGATTGTCTATGTTGTGCAATAGAAGACATTCACAATGTAAAAATGTTTCCATACTTTATAAATATCAAAACTAATCAATTTCTCCTCATGCATGGATTTGAACAAAAAAATCATAAGCTGCTTTTGTGACCCGTTTATGTGACTTGATCTAATGTTAGAAAGTATCTATTTAAATTTTGGATATAAATATTTCAACATCAGTATTCAGTTATTTTATTTTAAAACTTAACTTTCTTCAGAATTTACTAAGTTATCCCTGCCAAGTTTCCTTACACAATGGTCAAAATATTTATTTAGGAAACATTTTTATTCATATGTTACACTAAAAATTAGTAAGCTGATAAAATGAGAAGAAAAGAAAATTATGGTAGTTCTTTATTCTAGTGTGTAAAATAGGAACATCAATTTCTTCCTCACTATGCAGTCACCTTTTGATTAACTAGAACAATTAAAGGAAAATAGGTCATGGCAAAATCAAAATCACGAGTAAAGATGACCAAAAATGATCAAAAGATGATACAAAATGTACTTGATAAAAATTAAGCAAAATTACGTATTATATTCTGAAACACAATATTATTATATAGTATCATCCTGAAGAGCAAAGTAAAGAAGTATGAAAATAATCATTTAAGATAAAAGTTAAAAACTAAGTTGCTACAGAGACCGGCAGATAAATGGTCTACTGAAGCAGTTTGGGTGACGAATGGGATACTTGTGCCCTGTTCAAGATGGGCGGCCATTATTCAGGCATGACCAACACTTGACTTGTGGGAATATGTACCCATCATCAACAATTTTTTGACTTATTTCTTGAAAAATGTATCTTCGTTCTCATGAGAAATCTCCCAATGTTGGAATGTTGCCAATGAATCTAAAATTTAAGTCTGTGAAGGCTAAACAAACTATCTCTGAAGATTGTTACCATTGTGTGTATCTGGTTTCAGAACACTGAATATCACATAAATTACTTTATGACAAAGGACCAAAAAGTTATCCACTCAGGCAACCTGCAGTTGCTGATGTTTTTTAGCTGAGTCTGTTCATGCCCCACTCAACATTGTTCAATATAAAGTTTCTTTATTGTTGTTTCATCTTTACCTTCTAAAATTCTTTCAGAAATCAAATTAATTGGTAGAGGAGAGTTGATACTCCTTCAAACTGCTCCTTTCTAAAAATTTGCTTTACATCTATTTACCTTTCCCCAAGCTTAGGTTGGGGAAAGGTAGACAAGACCCATTAAACTTATCTCATTTAGTGGGTGAGTCAGTCCTGTAATTATCGTAGCAGATACAATGTGGCATTTACTGGTTATTCTTTTTTTTTTTTTTTTGAGACAGAGTTTCGCTCTTGTTACCCAGGCTGAAGTGCAATGGCGCAGTCTCGGCTCACAGCAACCTCCGCCTCCTGGGTTCAGGCAATTCTCCTGCCTCAGCCTCCTGAGTAGCTGGGATTACAGGCACGCACCACCATGCCCAGCTAATTTTTTGTATCTTTAGTAGATACGGGGTTTTAGCATGTTGACCAGGATGGTCTCGATATCTTGACCTCGTGATCCACCCGCCTCAGCCTCCCAAAGTGCTGGGATTACAGGCATGAGCCACCGCGCCCGGCCTAGTTATTCTCTAATACTACATAGTAGGTATCTTTTAAGATTCTTGTTTTAACACATTTATTAAGATTTCATTTCTACTACTTTATACATTTACACATTTGTTTGACTTAGATAATCAAGTTAATTTCCTGCTGGAAATGGGAACTATAAGTAAAACTCTGTGAAGTGTGATTTTTAAAATGTGATTTATTGGAAAATTTCAGCAGCCAGACAAAGGTAGTCCCTCTAATAAAAACTGAACATAGCATTTCTTATCTGTTATTTGTTTATTAGGGTTCTAATTAGCCCACAGTGTCACTTTATTTCAACACATTTTACAAATAATTTGTCATGTATCTGTAGTATTTACAATTTCTAGGCAGTTTTGAAAATGAACATATTTGAGGACTCTATATTCATTGGTTAGTTCAAAGACCCAAGGGATACTGTAGACACATTTGTTCCTAAATTGCATGTGCCTCTCTCTTTACTGGGAAAGTGATTATGGGAAAGAGCTGGTCTTAGGAGAAAGACCAGTAATGGCAAAGATATTGGTCTTAGGAGAAAGAAGATCTGGTTTGAGGTCCCACATTCACCACCAAATTCCTGTGTGGCTTTGAGCAGTTGTATTCACTTCTCTTAGCTTCAGCATTCTCCTCCATGGAGCAAGGGGGCTGCACTAAATAATCTTCATTTACTCGCTAGTGCAGCATTCTGCAGTTTAACCGTATCTGTGATTCTAGACCACACTTGTGCCTAGAAGCCATGGTACTGAGTGAAGGGAGTAAAGGAACAGGGACTTAAAAGCATTCTTCTCTTTAGCAGATGGAGAACTTTGAAATGCCAATTCACTTTTTTGAAATTCTAGAGTGTTTAAAGCATAGGCGAATTTCATGTTCTTAAAAATTCCTAGCCTGTGTCTTACAGACACAGTGATGCAGACTTTAGATGGTGTGGGTGTTTCTTCTCTTGCAAAATGTTTCCTGTGTCCATGTTTCTTCTTGGTAGTCTGATGAGATCTGTAGGTAGTATAAAGTTCACAGTGACTCTAACAGCCAAACAAAATCTGATATGAAGGTTTTCATGAAGTTAGATAGTATGCTCACTTCTTTCTAACACCTTGTATTCCTAAGCTTGGTAGTATTTCTTTTTTACTACCCTTAAAATCAACCTGTTGCCTATTCTACCTTCTCTTTCATTTATGGACCCATCAATAATTATCTATCAATACAGCAACTTGCTCATGACATTTAAGCCAATTAGTTGAGCTGTAGGTAACTCAGTAAAGGGATTATACGTGAAAATCTCCTTTTAGGGTATGAATCACAGCTATCAATAAGCCCATTAATAATTCTGATTTTCAATATGTTTTCAGCACTCACCTAATCTGTAACTATAATATATTGGTCCCACTTTCCTTGTTATGTGTAATCAAACAGTAATCAATACAAACTATGACTACTGCAGAATGAGACTTCTGAAGCTTTGAGGACAAATTCATCAGCAGCATATAAAAGTCACTGCAGAGAGTCTTTTCTTTCTTTCTTAAGTGCCCTTGAAACCCAGCAACTGAATTATAGTCCAGGCCCCCAAAGAGAGCTACAAGGTTATAATTGTCTCACACTTAATTACATGCATTACCTTTGTAGACGGACAAAGTCATTTTGTACCATGCGTAGAGAATAAAATCACTATGAATTTTTATATTGCTGGCTCATTGATTCACAGAAAGTAGAAATTTATGCAAGAGCTATGTCTAACAATGTAAATGTTCAGCCAAGCCCAAGAACACTGCCTTCACTGTTCTGGGACTGGGCCTCACATTCACAGACTTGCTATTCTTCTCTTTCACTCTTGGGCCTAGTGAGGCAGCTTATTTTTCCTTTTTCTTTCATTGGTCACACTTATTTCTTTTCAGTGTGTCATCTTCTCTAAGTTTCTGAGGGAGTGTTAGCTTGAGGCCTTGCCTTGACATAATCAGATATAATCAGAAAAATGAAAAATGCCATAGGAAAGAGAACTATTTTCGCCAAGGTGTGAGAGAGAAATACCACCACTTTCAAGCACTGTTTGCTTCTACTGGAGCCTGCTCAATAGGGACGTCAGCTTTGCTGGGGTAAGTAAAAGCATCCTGGCCTTACCTATATAATGCGAGGGACTAACTGCTTCTTAGAATCATCAAGTCTAAGTTCTGAATTAGACCCAAGATATAACCACTTTTCTTTACACTGCTTTCAGAATTTCCTTTGGCTTGCTGGGTGTGAGATCCACATTTCTTTCAACAGAATATTTTATTTTGTGTCAGTTGATTTCATTATGATAAGCTGATGGCAAATGCTACTTCCTTACACAACAGGGCTCGCAGCCTGAATGTGCCTGAATAAATTTTATGATAAATAATATATCCTGCAATCATTCAGTGCAGCCCAAGGAAGCAGATGGAGTTACAGCCCTCTTCTCAAGCAGAAAGAAACTACAGCTTTGAGGAAGAGAATGACATCATTACATGGCTTCCCAATTTCATCTTGATAAACTCTGAAGCTGGCATATTACAGTAGTTTTCAATGATAGGTGGGAAGTTTGACTTTCCTTTGAGTTCAAAGGAGAAAACTGTTGCTTAAAGAAAAATGTGTTTGCTCCCTAAGTATGAGTTACTCCTTCCAGAAGCAAAAAGAAAGAAAGAAAAAAAAAGCCTCATGCATGCAGAGCTATGATGGACACATTTAGGACAGTCCTGTGTCCTGCTGTTAAGGCTAGGGTGACACTATCCCTAACCCTAAAAGGAAAAGTAAATTTAAAAATAAAAATTATACTGAGCTGCTAGTTATTTTGCCTGTGGGAGTCTGTGCATGTGTCTGGTGGAATTTGGTTTTTCTCTGATATTGTCAGGCAATTTTGGCCAAGGTAGGCAGAAGAATTTGAAAACTATGGAGAGGAGCTTGACCTCCAAAAGCTAATCTGGCACTCTGTTACTTTCTTCCACAGTTTCTTCTCTGTTTCCAGATATTACAAATGTACAGTCAAGAGTGCTTGGAGTATTACTCTATTAACAGATGTACTGTTACATTAAGCCATTAATCAGGCAAATTGCAGATTTTGTTTTCTTTCTATATGTTACTATAATTACTCTTGAAAAAACACCTACTGAGTTTATCATTTCATCCATTGATGACTTTTTAAAAATTTCTTGGATAATTCACTTCTTAAAGTCTATTTATATGGATTTAAGGTTTCAGGATCTCTCCTCAGGTTTTCACCATGTGTTTTTTAAAGAACATAACAGTATAACATCACATATGGATGGATTAATAGGCCCTTGAGGGACTGAAGGTTGAAACCCACGTGCTGAGTTTGCAATTAAATCATACTCCTCTTGTGCTAAAAGATGAACCTTATCTTTTGAAGCATACAATGCTGATAAGTCCAGTGAAGGAGGCTGCCTTTCAAAAAAATGGAGCTTGAGGAAGGGAATGGAACTTAGTCCAGCTGCTTAGTTTACAGATGATAAAACTAGGACCTAGAGAGCTAAAGTCTGTATTACTGAGACAAAAGGATGCCAGAGTCCAAGACTCATGGCACCTAATCCAGTGTTGCTGCTGCTTGTTTTGTTTTGAGACAGAGGCTCAGTCTGTCACCCTGACTGGAGTGGTACAATCTTGGCTCAATGCAACCTCCGCCTCCTGGGTTCAAGCAATTCTCTTGTCTCAGCCTCCTGAGTAGCTGGGATTACAGATGTGCACCACCACACCTGGCTAATTTTTGTATTTTTTTTTTCTTTAGTAGAGATGGAGTATCATCACCATGTTGGCCAGGCTGGTCTTGAATTCCTGACCTCAGGTGATCCACCTGCCTCGGCTTCCCAAAATGCTGGGATTACAGGTGTGACTCACCACACCCGACCCAGTGTGCTTCTACTCCCACATTCATTCTTCAAACAGCTTCTGCCATGTCAGAAGGGAATGAAAATTTCTTTTGTGACTCAAAGGTAAACTAAAACAGGTTGGATTCCTGAGACTGGTTCTACCCATTTACCCGCTCTCCTTAAAGTAAAACTTAGCCAGGAATTCTTAAATTTTGCTTTTAACCTAGGGAGCTCTATCTTTTCTGCTCATTAAATATTACTGATTTCTCATTTTCTGGTGACATTGTTTTAAAATTCTTTTGACTACAAAGTTGAAGTTTCTGGAGACTTTTCATTTTTTGTAAAATATACTTTTATTAAGAGATGAATAGTCAGAATAAAAATGAGTACAGTTTAGTAGGAAAAAACATGGGCTTTGGAATAAAAGTTGCATATGAATTCCAGTTCTACATCCTATAGTTGTGTAGCCTTGGGAAGTTACTTCAGCTGTCAAATGTTCACATTCAGAGAGAGAGAGAGAGAAATTGCCTAGTACAATTCAATAACTGGCCCACAGAAAGCATTAAATAACTGTTAGTTGCTGCTATGGGAATCAGAGGAGAGAGAATATTAATGGTCATGGCATTTTTCTGTTTATGTTAAATACTATCTTAAACATCTGGAGAAAAGAAGGAGAATCTCATTTTCTGCTTTTAGTATTAGTGATCACTGGCTGCTGTCGCCAATGCAGAGAGCCTTGCAGACAGTTAGCAGCCTGAAAACAAACTGTATTATTTGAGAGGAGGTACTTTTATCTCTTAACTAAAGTTTTTGCAGGTCGCTCTGATATGGTGCAGTATCAATTTGAACTCATTAAATTGAAGAAGTGACACAGGAACACAAGAATATATTGAGAGTTTCTTTGCCTCATCTGCCTAGTTAAATAAAAATTCCAGATCTCTTTACTCACGAGCAAGCTTGATGGTGAAATCCTCACACACCTGCCACTGTATGTTCTCTACCTCCTCCTCAAGTACACCCTACAGCAGTGGTTCTCAAATGTGCTTCCTGGGCTAACTGTATCAGAATTACTCAGGAATTATTAGAAAGGCAAAACCTCAGGCCCTACCACAGATATGCTGAGTCAGAAATGTGGGGATGACTCAGAAACCTGTTTTAAACAGGCCTCCAGGTGATTCTGATGGCATTTCAGAACCATAACCTGGAGAACATACTGTTACTTAACGGACTGCAGTGTTTCTCAAAGTGAAGAACAGGTGACATTTGCATACCAACATCATAGAAGTGCTGTAAGAACTTATGAATGGAATACAGAATAGAGTAGGAACTTGGTACATTCTTATTTCTTCAAGTCTCACTTTGAAGTCAGTTTTCTATGTGGCCTTCAAAATAGCATTTCTGTTGAAACTTCAGATTCCTCATTTGTATCATGACAGTAAAGAAGACTTGAAGATTTGAAAGATTCCTTCCAGCTCTTAACTAATATACTTACACATGTGTATTGTATGTGTGTATGTTTACATATAGAGTAAATTCTGTATAGAAGTCTGGCTTAGGCATAAATAGTTTAATTCCCCAGGCATAAATCTTGAGTGCTCGGGGATAACATTGAAACTAGCTGGCTGTGTTGGAAAAATAAAAAATCAAATTGTGAGAAATGTGGGCGCTGATGTACATTTCAGAGCTCAAAGGTAATTTCATTGTATTTTATCATCATCTGTCAAACCTAAAGCAATACTGACACTAGAAAATAGATTTTTGCAGAGGTTTCTGAGGAGAATGGTTTCCATAAGCTGGTGTAAATGTATTCAGAGAGACTTGTTCCTACTTAATAACCCGCGTTTTTCCTTCTGAATTGCTGATGCATTCACTTATAGCATTTGAAAGGCAGTTTGTCCTTTGCTGTCAAGTGAACTTGACAGAATAATATGAAATTCTGAAAAATTCAATCAAATCTTGTTGCTTCTCACAGGAATTTCTGGACTACTTATTCTGTTTAAGGAGAAAAAGAGAAGATGGTGTTTCTTTGGTTTTGTACAAAACACTAACCAAGTTTAATAACACAGGTTCTAGTTAGCAGTTGCCACACCAAGTTTTCCTTCTCAGTAATCCTGGGGACAGTGCCAGCTGAGGTTTGGGGGTTCTTTGGGGAGTAGCAGCAATACCTAAGGGGTCACTACAGGACTGCATTGTTATAAAATCAGAAGCTGTCGAGATCAGTTTATTTATTGCTTACAACATGCTTGTCAATCTGGAGACCTGAAAATAAGGAGAAACGGTGAAACTCGGTTTTCTTCCTTAGACAGTAAAATGGCTTGCATTGTCTTTTACATAACTGACAGAATCCCAGAAGCTAGATCCACTCAAATATTGGCAATTCTGATGAAATGGCCCAGGGACTATTCAACCTGATTTAGGAGGCACTGAACTGAAAATTACTGTGTACAGAGAGAATGTGCTTGCAATCATATAGACAACAGTTCAAATTACTCTTTAAGCTCCAGTCTCCTTATCTATAAACTGAGGATAAAATGTTCCTACCTCACAAGATTGTCCTGAGAATTAATCCAAGAGGTCATGTTGGAAGTAGCCAGAACATCTAAAATTAACTGAGCACTTACTATCTGCCAGGTGCTATTTCAAGGGCTTCACCTGCATGAGGTCATTTAAGCCTCAATAAATCTCTGAGATAGTTACTACTATAAGCTCCATGTTGTGGATTTAGGAACTTAGCCCAGGGAAAATGTAACTAACTTTCCAGCCACAATGTGGCAGGAAGAGACAGAACCAACATGGGAACCCAAAAATTCTGGCTGCAGATGCTTCTTCTTTAAAGTTTAAAAGCACTTGACATTGTTATCAGCATTTCATATGAGTTAAACCATGTGAAATTACAGATACTTGACCATTTTTGACATAAAAATAGCAATTTGTGTGGTAGTACCTAATAAGCACTGGACATGTGTTAGTAGTAGCAATCATAATATTTATTTTACCCCAGACGGTCACTCACTAAAGTAAGGAATACAGGTATATTATAGAGTAGAATCTACTAGCTTGGCGATCAGAAGCTGGGTAAACTCTAGGTTTCAGTTCTCCCATTCGTAAAATAATGGGATTGGTCTTTTCCAGTTTTATTTGTGAATGGCAGAACCTTAAAAACTACCTATGAGGAAGAACCAGATATTTTTGTCCAATCTATCTTGGACCAATATCTAGCTCTACCATGAATTACTAGTATATAGTTGATGTCA